GGGTTGGTTCCTTTGAAACAGGAAAAACACCTGCGAAACAGGTGCGATTAGGCTTATTCCTTCAGAGCAACAAACACCAAATGCAGAATTTAACATAATTCAGCACACTGTTGGACAGCTTCCTACTGTTTTATACACAAGCATATACAAAATGCCTCTCCCTCTTCTTTTTTTGAGAGATCAGAAAAGCAACTATGCTAGGAAATACTGAAGAGCAGCGTTTAATTTACTACTACACCAACACCACGATAACTAGCTCTGACCAAAGTAGGCATCTAGAAGCTGGTAAAATCCAGCAGCACGCAGTTTGATCTGAAGCCCTCAGGAAGGTCTTCCCGGGCAGGGCAGGGCAGGGCAGGGGCCACAAGCCCTGATGTGGTCTGACACCATGCAGAAGTTTCACTGACAGGGCCCGACACCGTTTCCAAAGCTGTTTTTCCCAGCCGAGGATGCCAGGTGCTGCCCCGGCCGCTCCCCAGCTGCACTCCGGGCTGCCTCCATACGGTGGTGCCAGACTTTTTGCTACCGCCTGAGGAGGCACATGCGTTGTGGAGACTGTTCAGCACCTTCCTCAGCAAAATCTGCCACAAGCAGAAAAGAGCTAAAACACACTCAGGAAAGGCGTATTTATTGCCAAAGTCTGTGTTTTCTTCCCAGATTTTAAATAATTCTTTAATTTCCCTTATCTGAAGATTAATTGGGTGCTAATGCTTCTCAAGGCAGCGTTAAACTTTACAGACCCCTAAATTTACACATACTCAGTGTCTGCACGTCCACACTATGCTACTATCCTGTTAGAAAAGCAGTAAAGAGAGTAACGTGGACACTAGTGGAGCCATTGTCAACTTGGTCACCCTCCTTTGGGAGCAGTGGGTGGCAAACTGCCTCTCAACAGAATAATAAAACGTCATAAGCAACATATTCAACATGCAAAATGCATCTCTATTCTCACTTTAAAGAAAAAAATAGCATCAGAGGCAGGAGTTTAGACATGGATAAATGTGTCCAGGCAAAGGAAAGAACAGAAGCCTAGATAATCTATGCATGAGATGTAAACTAGAGGGCTTTAAACCAGTTTGCCATGTAAATTTCAGCTAGGTGGCAGCTGTGAGTGTTTCACTGTTCAAGAGTCATGACACGTAAACCTGCCATGCCATTCCTAACTTTTCTGTAGAGGCAGAATTTATTTTTTATAGTAATACAAATTCTCCCCAAGCCTCTCCCTCCCTTCATTTCTGGATTTTTGTGTGGTTATACAGTTATATTCACAGTCCCTTACATCCACTATCTCCCCGCTAAATCCTATTCCCCCTGCCCTGTCAGGAGG